CATCGTTCCCAGTTCCCGCAAGCGACGATCGATGGCTGCAAATGTTTTCCGACAGGGGTGTCGCCGATTAGGAAATCTCTCACGGTAGATCCTTTCAGCAAGTCTTGTATTGCAGCGAGCCTCACCGAATACAAGATGCATGTCTGTCATCTCCGCAAATGTAAACATGTCGATTTAATTTCCGAAACAAAACGCTGAACTGAGATCAGTGTGGACTAGGCGTTCGCTGCTTTGCGTCGCAGAGATGCCAGTTTCGAGACGCTGCCACCACGAACACAAGGAAAGAGCCTCGTACGTGTGCGCAGGCGCCGCTGAGCGCGGAGCGCCATCTCTGCTTTGCAGTCGTGCATCGTTGACAGGCGTCGTCGGAGACTACATGTTTATTAATAAAAGTTGAATATTTTCACCTACCCTACAACCCCTCAACGGTTGGCACCGGAGTTCCCGAACACCCTGTATATATATATATTATATAAGGGATATGTTGATTATATTCTTGATTTCTTTTTGATTATTGATGCTATTGTATAATTTGCTCCAAATACTTATAACGTGAAAGAACGTTGAGTAATGTATAATCAATGCAAGGATGTTCAGTATATCATCCAGTATATAAATTAGAGTTCAAATATATCAATATCAATTTTTTTATAATATATATATATATATATTAGAATGTAGAAAAATGATAAAAAATATATTTCGGCGATTTAAAAATTTTTTAATATATTGAAAATATTTTTACTACATACACTATATATAAGTGTAAAATAATTCAGAAAATAAATTTAATAAAAATCTACATACCAGCTGTGTGCATGTGTGCAATTGATTTATTACTTGAAATTTATTTACGGAATTATTTTGCATTTATATATTTATAGTATGTGTAGTTGTAAAATGATTAAAATATTTTCAATATCAAATTTTTAAGTTTATCGCCTATATAAAAAATATATTTTTATGATTTTCTATATTCCAATATATTATAAAAAAATTGATATTGATATATTTGAACTCAAGTTTTTTACGTGATTAAATATTCTTGCATTGAGCCATCATACGTTACTCGTAAGTTCTTTCACGTCATAAGTACTTATGTAGCAGAGAGAAAGAAATGAGAGTTATACAATGTAACATCAATAATCTTATATATTATAATCTTATATATTATATATATATAATATTTCATTTATTTATAAAATACATTTTATAAATAAGTAAAATATTATACAGACAATGTACAAGATGTTCAGTTTGTGCCATAACAAGCTTCAATCAATAATTATTACTCCAATGAGTATAATTCACAATAATTTTTATATAATATAATAAGTATTTGAATATATAAAAATATTTTTAAAAATTTGTTTTAAAAATTAATTGAAAAAGAATATTTAAAATATTTTTTATATTTAAAATATTATTTTCCTCAATTAATCTTAAAAAAAATATTTTTAAATATTTAAAAATATTTAAAAATACTATATATTATATAAAAATAATTGTTGATTATTATATTGGATTATTAATTGAATGAAGCTAGAGCTTTTAATATGGCAGTAGCGTTTTTTTTTTTGTTTTTTTTTGTTTTTAAGTGGGGGAAACCTTCAAAAGGCATTCCGGTTTTCCGGAGTAGTGTGAGATTCTTACTCACTGAAACCCCCACTATACATACGTTACCTGCTACAATATAATGGCGTTGATTCAAAGATATCCACGCCTCTTCATTGAAAGTGATCCGCCCTTCAGACATCTCTAAATCTATCTGCAACAAACAACTCTATGCTGCATAAAGATAATTAAATAAAAAATTATTTATTATAAAATCTGAAAGAAAAACAATGTAAATTATATAATATTAAAATATTAATTACTTAAAATAACATCATAATTTTTTGCGCTTATCGGAAACACAACAATAAAAGCGCTACAACATATTGTTACATATTCTTATCCCGAAAAATGTTATATATAAATATTTAATACAAAATATTTTTAAAAAATGTAATATAAATATAAAAATATAAAATAAATAACAAGAAATGTTAATAAAAGTCTGATATATGCAATTTTTTTCAATGCAATAAAACAATTTATGAATTATATGTTTGATTGTATTTTATTTTTGAGATCTTTTTATTTTAAAGTTTTTAATGTAGTAGGATTACTCATCTTATGTGTGTGGGATAAAGATATATAATAATATGTATACAATGTACAGTAAACAATAGCAAGCAATGTACATATAAACATACATTTAAATATCTTTTCTATAATTTGAAGTTAATAAAAACTTAAATTTATGTAATTGCTATTGTTTCTATACATATTTAATAAACAACACGAATTAATATAATTCGAGTGGATTGCAATTTAAACTAAGTTAAATGATTGCGTCGCAAAGTGACCTCAACCATATTATGGGAAGTATACTTGTACTATAAAATATTTTTTACTTTATATGCAACTTTGTTTATTATGTGTTTCTATACTTGTATCTTGTAATTTATCTATCTATTACTAAATATTTTTGAAAATAGTACATTGCAAAACAAAACCTATCTGATATATTAACACTTTGCGACGCAATCACCTCAGTTCAAATTGCGATCTAATAATTTGCAATGCATTATTTTCAAAACAAAAGTATAACATAAAATAATTGTCACAATAAATTTAATATTACATATATATATATAAAATATAGAATGGGCCCCTCCAACGCCCATTCTCGTGAGAACGCAACCAATATTTTTTTATCGTCTCTCCGTTTTTATGTTATACTATATGTTCTATACAATGACGATTGCAGATAACTTCTACCATCTTATTTTATGATTGCTTATTTTTGTATAATGGCAGTAATAAAAGCTTACAAAGATAATGAAAAATATTAATTCGGGAAAGGCAATAATTTGTTACTTTCTAGTATTTTAATTAAATGGAGTGTCATGCATTTAACGTTATTGGAATATTTTTCATTACAAGGATTTCCTTTCAAGGCTACAGTTGTAGCGAAAGCCGCAGCATAAATTCCACAAGAGGTGCAATCCGGTTATGTTTGCACTTCTTCGAAAATTATATCATATTTGTTGATCTTAGGATAACGAAGGCGAATATATTCTTTTCTTTAGCAGCCAATGTTTCGTACGTAGTACCAGATAAGCTGTCGTACACGTGAAGTTTGGTGCCATCAAAATAAATACATCGCCAATGATCTGTGCAATTTCCGCCAATAATTTGTAAGCTTTTATTACTACGACTAGCTTCAATTATATGCGGGTATTCTATATATAACACACTTTGTGTTTCAAAGCAAGAAGTTTCTCTTATTACGCGTAAAAATAGATCTAACGATTCATCATTTAATTTACTCTTTATGGGCAATACATTTTTCTTCACTAATAAGAGCGAAGATATTATATTATCTAACATTTTTCTTTGCTTTTTTATATCATCCTCAGTTAGATCTCTTTTTTCGTTTGAGTAATCAGTTATAATGCAATCGTCATCTTGCTCCATTTCTGGAATAGCAACAGTGGTAGTAGTGTTTTCAATAACACTGTCCACTTTTATGTCATTTTTTTTAGCTACTTGTGCTTTGATGACATACTGCGGTTCTCGAATAGGCATATTTCTTGCCGCTCTACTATCTATTATTTCAGGAACCAAGCAATCTTCGTAGAATCGTGTAAGCTGTGATAACATTTTTGTTTCCCAAAATCTGTTATCACGCTCGACAATCGTGTACTTCAATCCAAGGGTGTCCACACCCTTACGAAAAAGAACTACTGCCGATTACACATAAATATTACTAATAATTACATGGGAATATCGCTGGATATCACAGGAAATATTATTGGGTATTACAAAAATATTACTGGATATTACAAGAAATATTACAGGATATCACAGAAAATATTATTGACAATTACATAGAATGTCAATAATTATTTCGTACCACTGCCGAAATATATTACTGCCAAAATATATTATTGCCAAAATATTACTGCCTAAATAAAAGAGGCTTTTTGGAATAATTTCAGTAGAGTTACTGATAAGACAATATTTTAATAATGATTTCCAGTTAATTTTAAAAGATAATTAATAGACACAACGACCAAAATATATTATTACTTTTTTTTCATCATTGAAATAATAGTAAATATATATATTGGTGATGTGTCCAATAACTTTCGTTTTAAAATTAACTGAAAATTATATTACTAAAATATTGTTGCTTTATCAGTAACTACTGAAATTATCCCAAAAACTTCTCCTATAAAATCTTATATGTTACTTCAATATACATTAAACACGTATATAATAAAATAATAGCTATTTATTGCATACAATTTTATATATATAATATATATATACAAATATATATTAGGTATATTTTTTATTTATTAAACTCAGAAATTTTTGCAAACTTTAATATACTCAGAAATATTGCATACTTATACTCAGAAAACTTGAAAAAAAACGAAAAGTATTCTTTGCATTATTGCATTTGCTACGAACAAAAAACTTAATTAAAATATTTTAAAAATTAAAAAAAAACTTAAAAAAGTCACATGTTTTGCACTTTGCATTTGCTGCAAACGAATTTTTAAAGAAAGTTAACAATATTTTTTGCGTTATTACATTTGCTGCGAACAGCAGCTCGAAATAATTTTTCATTGTCCCGAGTCTTTCCTCCAAACCGTTCGTATATGTACGCTGTAAAAAAATTAGATTTGATGTAGATATCTTGAAAACACCGATTACAATATTTAATAATTCTCATTTATTTTATGTTATTATTTATTTTACCTGCAACATCTGCTACATGTGTAGGATCAAGCTGTGTGTCGATGCTTTGGGCAGTTTTTTCCTTTATTCGCATTAGCCTGCTTCCCTGTTAAGCTGCTTTCTCGCAGTTCCTCGCGATCGAACACTAATCCAAGTAATTCGCTTGCCATCATTGATAGGCCGTCTTTGTCATTCATTTTTTCCAATTGTTGATTGCTTAAAAACCGATCTCCAAAATATTTTCCATTTTCCTGTAAATTAAACAGAGAATTCTTTTAAAAATATATTACCATAGAGTACCATAAAATTACAAATTATTGTCTAATTTATTGAGTAAAATATTATGAATATATTGTTAACCTTTAATTTGTTCTCATTACTACTGATCGTCATCAGTTGTCGTTTCTCGTCACGTTTTGTTTCAACGGTTTTAAGTACACGATTTTTCTGAAAAATGTAATTTATAAGTTATTCTGAATTGTAACTGAGTCATTTTTCATGATAGTTTATTATTAAATATTAAATTAGTGTGTATAAGTATAAAAGTGTATATTTTGCTTTATAACTATAATCAACTTTGAATTCTTTTGTATTGGCCTTTTTAAAAACAAGATAAATTTAATATTACATTATAATATTAAATAATAAACTATCATAAATATTTATAAATAAATAAATATATATATGTATTGTGAATGAAATTTTACCATTTCATTGTCATCCTGTGGAACAATCGTTTTATTTTATAAGGTACTCTAAAAACTGCGTAATCATCGTTCAATGAGTCTTCATTTATTGGCGGATCAAATGAATCTATGAAGCCGTCAAAGACAATTTTTTGGGCATTATCTTCGGCTCTCTCTTTATGTAAATTGTCTACATTCTGTAAAAGAAAAAATGTTTTACAAAATATCTATTTCTATTTTCTTTTGTTTAGTGAGCTGAAAATGCAGGTGTATATTCAACTTATTTTAAACTTTTTTTAAAAACTTATTTACCTGTTTTTTTGTTTCCCGTTCATTAACTTTTAAAAGTCTTAAATTGTCGTCGTCATGTCTTTTATGTCTTTTAAATCTAAAAACAAAAAATATATACATATTGATATATAATTTTTAATAAAAATCTTATATTATTTTACATTTGTGAAAAAAAATAAATCTAAACCTTTTGCGCTAGCTATTTTTATTTCTTTATTTTCTTCTTTTAATTTTAAATTTTCGGCTTCCAACGCTCTATTTTTTTTCTTCTCAAAGATACCGTTTCTTCTGTAAATTTTATTTTATTGTTATGTGATGTTGATAGAGTTCTCATTGATATTGCACAATCATCATCTGATGACGAAGTCGAATCCGAATCTGCACGAGTCACCTATAGATATGTTGGAATTATTACAGTAAAAACATCTTTTATTTCTCAGTAATAAAAGTAATGCACTTTTTCAATAATAAATAAATAAATAAATAAAAATAAAAATATATATATATATATATATATATATATAGATTCTTACACTTTGTGCCTCTGATTGTGATTGATCCTTTTTTTAAATTTTTTCCAGTATATTTCCCGCCACTTTTTTGCAGCACTGGTTCGACGTTTATTTTATCCTAGCAAACAAAAATACAAGACATATTAGTGACATTATTTTTAAAAATGTATATATTTACTGAATTATCTATTATATAACAATTAGTATAAAGTGTTTATGTGTTTAAGAACAAGTTCGTAAAATTTGTTCTCAAACACATAAAACAGATTTTTATACTAATTGTTATATATATATATATATATATATATATATATATACATAATAGATAAAAGTAATGAAAAGAATTGAAAGTATAATATGTAAAAAATCAAATTAAGACATAAAAGTAAGACATTAATTAAATCAATTCTTAACATGATCAAAAACATCAGAAATTAAAGAATTCACATCGCATATATCTTAAGTCTACAGTATTTTATAAATACTATTTTATTAATGTCTTACTTGTATGTGTTAATTGCAGCTTGAAAATTTTTTCATTTACAGCGCATGCATGTTAAGTCTACAGTATTTACATAATACTGTAGACTTTAAGATGTATGCGCTGTAAATTTTCTAATTTTTGATGTCTTTTGTTCACGTTAAGATTGACTTTATTAATGTCTTACTTATATGTGTTAATTGCAGCTTGAAAATTTTTTCATTTACAGCGCATGCATGTTAAGTCTACAGTATTTACATAATACTGTAGACTTTAAGATGTTGCGCTGTAAATTTTCTAATTTTGATGTCTTTTGTTCACGTTAAGAATTGACTTTATTAATGTCTTACTTTTATCTTTTACGGCTTGAAATTTTTAATTTTTTTCATACCTTAATTCTTCTTTTTATCATCCTCTTCACTACTACTGCTGCCTTTTTCTTAGCAGCATACTTCTTCCTATCTTCCTTCATTGGATTTGGCTCATCATATTTAAGATAATTTTTAAGCTGCGTGTTCATGCTTGTCCAATCTGTGAATATATAAATGTAGATATTTATAATTTTACAAATTTACAAGTATCCTAATTAAATAATATTTGTCACTGCCATATATGCAGTAAAGTAAATATAATAAAATTTTTTATTTAAAAACTATACTCATATTAATAACCTCCAAATCCTAAAATGGACACGATGTGCGGAGTCCACTTGCAATTAAGAAATTTTTTCTTCATTTTTGCATTCAGTGGACCAACGATGCAATTCGCCGGCCAACGAATAACTACATGTTCACCGCTTTTTATAAGTGCATTTACACGTTCTTCTTCTTTCACTGTTGTTAGCCATGCGAAATATCCAACGGCTATATTTCCGTTCTCGTTAGGAAACTCTACGAGAATACACTTTTCATCGTTCAACTCCTCTGTGTCATTCACCTCCATTATCCGATAAATACTATAATTATCTATACTTTCCAAATTCCTCCGAATTCCTTGTTAGCACGATCGTATCGCGAGTATGATTCTTTCTGGTTTATCGCGTTATCCTTATGCGCGTACGCATGCGTTCCACAACGCATGCTCAACGCGCAACAGTTTGCATATCACCTCGTTATCACGTGGCTCTATGTTTTTGTATACATTACATCGATGGTTTTGAAACGAAGTATTGAGAATAATGAAACGAGGCCCTTATAAAGAACATTTGAAAAGGACTGGCGACCTTCCTCTATCGACAGACTATTCTCGAAAGAAAAGACGAGTTGGTGTTGGTGAATGTAGTACGGGCAAGAGAACGACATACAATGAAGAGGTTATGTCCCCTGATGCACGTGTAAGTACATAATAAATAATTATAAATTTGCATTTTCTAAAATATAATTGTAATATTTGATTTACTTACATGAATTTTGAAGTTATAATTTTATTGACATATTTTTCTTTATATGTTAAGTATTTGCAATTTGTATATATATGTATTTTGACACATGAATATTATGTGTAGAATGGACTACCGTTTGATGATCTGCATGAAAATGAAGATTATGTAAATCAACAGGAACTACTAGACCATTTATGTATTGCAAATCTTGATAATATTGATGATAGTAATTCATCGGTTCAAGAAATTGATGACAGTGACCAGCAAAGTGATACAAGCATAAGCGATGATAATAATGATTATGACAATATTGAAGAGCACAAATCATCAAGTGTTAGCGATTTCAATGAAGCTCCGAGAATTT